GCCATTCTTTTTGCATTGTGCAGATTTTTTTATTTTAAATTTTGTAAACTTTATACAAAGTCATAATAGAATTGGACAATTAATAAATGTAATAATTTTTTTAAAAATACTATATAAGTATAATCCAGAAAGTATAATCTAGAATAATTTCCCACTATTATTAAAGAAAGTGTTAAAGAAAGTGTTATTCTTTACAATTTTTTTTACCAAGTGGTAAATAATTGGTGGCGCAATGTTGGTTTAGCTCAGGAGTTTCTCTGCCTTCAGCATGATTGGAAGCATGGACATGAGGATTGAAACCATGATGAGGTCCTATTACAGTGGTAAACCTTGTCCTCAAGGGCTTTGAGGCAGACAGAATGCAGGAATTGCAGCTTTCTAAAGGAAAGCATAATGCTTGGCCTCCAACCTGAGTATCAAGTAATGATATACACAGAGACTCATAAAATCATTTAATTGTGGAATTGGAAGGGACCACAAAGATAGAAGGAAGCATCTGAGATATAGTCTTTACTCTCTGATACATCCAACTGAGCTCTATGTAAAAGACAGAGATCCCAGAATCTAGGGCAAGTGGAAGGCTGTAGATTTAACAAGCACCTGAGGAAATAATCCATATCTTTGCCAGAGGGGGAAGTGGCAATATTTGGGGGAGGGGCTGATGACTGGAGTGTGGATGTATATCACTGCTTGCTTTACATATTGTCTGCTGGTTGATATGATTTAAAATGCCTATTTTAGCTTTTATTTTAGGTTCTTGGATATATAGGTAGTCCCCAACCTATGCTCATTCAGTCAACAACCATTCCAAGTTACAATGGTGCTGAACAAATGGTGGTTATGACTGGTCCTCAGAGTTCCGGCCATCCCAGCACCCCTGTGGTCACATGATTGCAATCTGGTTGCTTGGCAACCCGTTTGCACTTATAACCAGCCTGCTGGCCTGGGACTTACAATTTCCTGCCAGCTTCCCCACTGATTTTGGTTGTGGGAAGCCGACAGGAAGTTGCCTCACCTTACGATCGTGGGATTCAGTTAACAATGTCAACCGGGACTGCAGAGATTGCCATCACTAAGCAATGCAAGAAGTCCACAATCTATACTTTTTGTTTTAAAAAATGCATTGTACACTACATTTTTCAATTAAATCACAGACATGACTATTGCACTCTAGCAGTAGGAGGTACAATGACACAAATCTGATGTGAGACTGTGAGAATACTGTGAAAGAAATAGGAAAGTGACACTTAAATTACTTCAGTGAATGGTGGAAAGCACCAGAACATATAAAAGAGAGAAGGAAAGTACAAATTTGCAGAGGCTGAAAGCAAGAAGTTCATGCATTAGCATATCATAAAAAGCTACATATAGAATCTAAAGGATCAGAAAGGTGACACATGAGAAGTGAGATGACATAATTTTCAGAAGCAGACAAGAGCTACCCTTGACAAGATGTCAAGAGCTGAGAACAGGCATTTCTAAACAAACAAGATGCTACAGACATTTGATGATCATGCATATGAATTTGTAATCTTACATTTATTTTCATTTTTTAATGTCTTGCAGCATCCTCTGTGATTTATCACTGTTGATTCATAATGTTTTGGAAATCATTTGCATTAGATTTATAATTTGTGTAATATATTTACTCTGCTCTTTCTTAGGATAGTTTTTCCTAACATTTGAAAGCAGAAGTTCTTCCCTCACTACTAAATAAGACTCCACAAGATTTGATTCCACAGACCAAAGTTTAACCAGCTGATTGCTAGCTAGCCAATTTAATTAACATCAGGAACTATGTAACTTCTGTTGGTGAGTAAGTCAATGAAACAGATAGCGCTTTGAGAAGATTGACCTCCAAATAAATGGTCATATTAGAAGCTTAAGATTTGGCATCTATACATTTTTGCAACTTTTTTTTTGCAAAAAGTTTTTCAGCAGTCATATCCTGTGGAAACTGGAACTATAATAAACTAATCAGTTTAATAACATGATACTATAGTATATAATATAGATTTCTGGGGGGAGGGGGCTGGCTTTGTTCCTAAGGCAGGACTAGAACTAGAACTCATGGTCTCCTGGTTTCTAGCCTGGTCCCTTAACCACTATACCAAACTTGCTCTTGATATATGCATAGATGCCAGTATACATATGACAGACTTCATTACACTGGAGTTTTTCCTCTCATTATAATGAGAATTGCATAGATCCTCTGTTCAAGTTAGTTAGTAAAAGCTAGTATAAAGTTATGCACTGTACATTTTTAACAGAGGAGAGAAGGGAACTGCCAAGATCACCTTAACGTGATGAATCTTCCAGAAAAATTGGTCCATGTAATGTAGAATATTGCTAATGACAGAAATTTATGACAGGGGCTAAAAGTGGTATTTTGCCTTGCTCTCCTTTTCTTTTTTAACTTCTATGACTCTTCCTCAGGTACCTCATTAGATTAACTGCAGACATTAAAAATCACAAGAAGAAAATATATTTATGTTGCTGGTATATATAGTATTCCGGGTAGAAAGAAATAACAAGCATTTATATATCAATGCCCAGGATTAGGTTTCTACCCAGAATATGGACTTTTGTGAGTGTACTAAGCCACTGTCAGTGACAAAGTTACAAGTTCTTACACATTCTAAAATATTTGCCTATCTCCTAAAGACAAAGCAATTCAATTCTGTCTTGCCTCTATGATGACACTGCCAGTTAGTCATTTAAAAAACTCTAAGCATATGATCAGCAGTGAGAGTAGTGTACAAATATCTGAAAGCAGGAAATATTTCTACTTTCCTTCAAATACTTGCTGCAATTTCCATCAAACATTTTCCTTTGGGGAAGGAACTGATATTTTACTATAATGATTTCTACTTGCTTCTGGAACACAACTCATGCTCTTCCATTATTTTTAGTTGACTGCTTAATTATTATATTGTCATGAATGAGGTTTGGTTATTCTGTGTTTTGTTATCAGCTTACCTTCAGGTAAAGAACCCGGTTTATGAGAATAAGCAGAGCTTTTCTTACTGCTTTCAGTGTTGACCGACAGGCTGGACTGAATTTTTCTGTGTATTTTTTGGGAAACAGGTGCAGAAAATGTTCTGTTATCTGGCGCATCAACTTTAACTCCGCTGCAAAATCCGCTTCCACTAGTCAGACTTCTGGGACCATTTTGCTTTTTGCTGGTTCCTTCCTTATACTTGTCAAGTGGCAAAGCATTTGGCTGAGGCAAACGCTGAGGTTGTGCTTTAAAGATATTTAAAAAGAAAAAGAGAGAAAAAGAATTAGAGCAGTTAACTGCTTTAATGATGCCTATTTAAACAAAGTTTTCCAACCTTCAGTGAAGCTTATATAACTATGATTTTGAAAGCTGGTCAAGATCCTGCTGACTATGAAATCTCACTAGATTTAAAAATCCTGATTGCAATTCTGACATGTAGATTATAAGTGATATTATCTTTGATTATAAAACCATATTATGCAGGGCAGATAAAGTCATCAAGTGTCTGTTAATATTAGATTATTAACAGACAATCTGAATATATATTCAAAAAACTTGAAATCACCATAGCAATGTCACTGAATGCAGAAAAAAAAATTGATATTGTGCAGTGAAAATTTCTGGAACAAATTTTCTCTAAATATGTATTCCTCCTATTTTAGTTGGATCATTATGTGATAAATTATGCTTTCTGTTGGAGTTACTACAAGCGGAATTTTCATCTATCAAGATTCTCATGGTACATATCCAGGAAGTCTTTTAACTCCTTTTATTTTTAATTTGATATTGGAACCAATGATCTGCCATATTAGACAAACACATTTTGGGTATATATTACACAAATATATTATGGGTATATAATTATCAATATTATATCATCAATATTATATCTTACTGAAATTATTTAATCAATATACCAAAATTTACTGGCATTCTGCAACAGTTTGGCAACTCTTGTGTCACAATTTGAGAACCTGATAATTTATCAGTTTTTTTTTTCAATTAATTGCAGTATGTATCCCAAACTTTCTTAATGGCTTTAATGTTTCTATGAACATTTGTAAAAACTGGGGTTTCGCTTGTTGTTCAAATTCTTTTAAATATCCAGAAATAATTACACTAAAGAAATTTTCTTCATTTGTGAAAGTGTCTATGTATATACATGAATACATATGAAATTCCTTATCTCAAATAAAACCTACATAGATAGATACTTAAGAATCCAAATGTTACAAAGATAACTATTTTAAAAATGAGTCCAGTATTAGTTAAGATTTATGTATGCATTTATAAATATTCCTATGTCAATACATTTAAGTTATTCTAAGCAGACTAATATTAAGTAGTTTTCTATGGGCACTGCTAGATTATTTTTTAATATAAATTAAGAGTATTAGATGAAGATGGAAGTTTTAATTTTCCTGACTTTTATTGTGCATATATTTTTATTTCAATTTCTCTATGAAATAATAATAAT